GGTTTCTTCATTGTTATCTGGGACATTTGTTCATACAAGTCATATGAGGACATTTCTTATGGCTACCGATCTTGGAAGACAACTGGCAGAACTTACAAATCAAGGATTCTTATGTGTTAAATGACTATATGGGTGCTTTGCACAATATGGAAGAACTTCGTGTGGAGTTCGTTGAATTTCTTCTGATTGCTTGGGCACTTTTCTTATCGTGTTAGAGCAAAGCCGTGTTATAGGAAGATTCTAGCAATTTATAAATCGCGTTATAGTGAAACCGTGTTACAGGATGCCGTGTTGTAAGAGGCCTACCTGTATATATATATCTACTTTGTTACTCGGCTCAGTGAGCAGCTCAGTTTCTTTATTCTTATATATTTGTAAATTGTGCATTTTTTGCTTTAAAAGTGATTGAATTGTGTTGTTCTTATCTTCAAGTTAAGGTTTTTATGCCTTTAGTTAACCTGCATATTATAGTTGTAGAATTATCAACAAGTTGTTTAAGTACGGCTAAGCCTAATTTTTTCACCATAGCAGCCATATTTGTTTACATTTGAAACTTAGCAGAATAGTTTATTTGTTGCCAATCTTGAGAAACTAATCTTCATTACAGCAAAGTAATGTCTTCTTTTATTATTGCGAATTAAATTATGCTTAATCCATTCTAGAATTATCATTTAAGTTATTAAATTATCCTATATATTGACTCAGCATAGCATCCACAACAAATTAAATCAGTTTTTACGCCTTCAATGTCTTTTTGTGAAGTTGAGACCTAAAGTAAACTTTCAGTTTTGTGCACCAAAAAATCTATCTTCTTGCCCACTGACTGATTTACTTGTTTTTGCATAGAAACTGTAATTTTAATGGTAAAAGTTTTTTTTTTTTTTTTTTTTTTTTTTTACTGTATTTGGTGTTTTATATTTTTGTATGTCTTTTAATTTTTAATGAAGATATTTTGAGTTTTTATTATTTTTGCCTTGCCATGAAGTGAGAACTGAGTTAATTGAATAAAAAATATATCTCTAATGAAATTCGGGGAAATAAGTGGTTCATATTAGCAGAAAATACTGTCGTCAATCTGTTTCGGACAGAGGAGAATGTTTACGAGTATCACATGTGCATTTAGGTAAGCGGCGCTGAATTGTCTGTGAAAAACTATTTATTTATTATTTGTTTAATTTCTTTTATGAATCGTTTTAAATTTATTATAGTATTTGAGCAGAACATGTGACAATGATTAGATAATTCTTCAGATGATATAATTTTTGTGCTTTCTGAGTTATAAAATTAATGAGATGTAATGCTGTTAAGTGAACCTAGTGCCAAATTGTCGCTATAGTAAATATAGTGAATTTTAAAGATTGCATTTATTCTCTTGGGGTTTATGTGCTGTCAACGAAGTAGATTTATTTCAGTTCAATAATTTTAAATGAAATGTGGGAAAAAATACATATAACACCTAATAAGTAGGCCACCGTTGCCTGCTATGAAGGATTTGAATCCTGGCCCTTTGGTATGGCAGTAGATTCAATAACCACTTTCTTGTCTGGACAGTGTATAATAATAATTCAGTGTTACCTCATAAAATAAAGTGCCCTTATAATGTTTATAAGAAAATGTTTATAAAAAAAATCTCTTTTGAAATTAAACCAACCTCCTTTCAAAGTTTTATCTTAAATTTGGAATAACACTCAACTTATATTGAAAGCATTCATTACAGGTCCATCATCAATTAAGTTATTAATTGAACACTTAATACCAAACTAAGGTTCCTTTTTTTCCCTCCCCCCTTGGGTTACAGCCAAAAACATCGCTGACGAAAACGTCACGGAGAAAACAACGCAAGGCGAAAACGTCGTGCTACAAAACATCACAGTTCTAAAACATTGTGGTACAAAACATCGTCGTCGAATATAAAGCGGTTCAAAAACATCGTCGTCGAAAATATCGCGGTAAAAAATAAAGTATCTACAAATCATCGCATGTCGATAACATCGTAGACACGCTTTTTTCAGGCTTTGATAACTGTAAATGGATATTCCCGTAATGATTTGTGTGGGCAAGATGGAAAAAAAAAAAAATTTTTACTTTCATATTTTTTATTAATCAATAAATTTTTGCTGAGAAAATAAAATGGAAACTTAAGCATAGAAAATTAATGCAACTTATAGCACTTAATTTTAAACCAACATAGTTAACTAACAAAGGCCATTAATAAATAATTTTTTATAAAGTTTTTACTGGTAATTTTTCATGAAAAGTATAATCTATAAGTTGCATTTAATTTTCTATGTTTAAGTTCCCTTCTTACTTTTTCAGCAAAAATTTATTAGTTAGTAAAAAAATGTGGAAGTAAAAATTATCCTTCTTTACATCTTGCGCTCACAAATCATTATGGGAATATCCATTTACAATTATTAAAACCTGAAAAAAAGCATGTCTGCGATGTTATCGTCATGCAATGATTTGTAGATACTTTATTTTTTACCACGATATTTTCGACGACGATGTTTTAGAACTGCGATGTTTTCTCCCGCGATGTTTTGTAGCACAACGTTTTCGCCTTGCGTTGTTTTCTCTGCGATGTTATCGGCGGACACCCCCCTTGCCTATTTTTTAATTTTAACATTTGCATGTTTCTCTTCCCTTTGATACTTTAATTTTACCCTGACAGTAAAATTATATTATAAAGTTCCTATAACTATTTTGTTTCATAGTTATTTTTATCCACCTTTTTTTTAAAAATTTGATGTTACATCTGAATTTTCCCTAAAGATTTTAAGAAATCACTTTCTAAACGAATACTACAGTAATTGTGGAAATTGAAGAAAAAAAAATTAATGTGATTTTAGTATACTGATGATGATATTATATATTTATTATATATGAGCGCAAGATGAAAATTTCTCGGCCTGACCAAAAAATAATGCTTAAATCACCAAAAATTTGTTTCCTGCTTGAGTGCTGGTGTCATTTGTTTGTATGACAAGTTTCAACTTGTTCTCTCAAGTAGATCGTTTACACGAATTTTTGCAGTAGATGTCTTACGTGTTATTCGATAAAATGGATAAACTTGAATATCGCACAGTCATAAAATTCTTCGTTTTGAATGGCTTAAGACCTAAGGAAATTCATCTGAAGTTGACAAAAGTTTATGGGGACTCTCCTCCTTCCATGTCAACCATTAAAAGTGGGCTGCTGAATTTAAACATGGTCGCACATTCCTCGAAGATGGCCTAAGTGAAGCGCAGCCAAAAACCACAACCAAAAATCACTGAAAGAGTGCATGATATCGTGTTGGACGATAGGCGAGTGAAGGTGTCCGAGATAGCTGAAACTGTGGGGATATTGTTGGAAAGCGTGCGAAACATCTTGCATAAAGAATTAGGGATGCAAAAGCTGTTCGCATGATGGGTGTTGCATTTGCTGCACAAACAATTTTCGCAGCAATCTTTGGACTTATTCAACAGGGATCTTACCAATTTTGTGCAGCGATTTGTCACCATGGACGAGACTTGGGTCCATCACTATACGCCAGAAACAAAACAGCAGTCCAAGCAGTGGATGGAAGCCGGCGGTTCAGCACTAAAGAAAGCGAAGTCAATCACATCTGCTGGAAAGGTCATGGACAGTGTGTTTTGTGATGCGAAAGGGATCCTATTCATTGATTACTTTGCAAAAAGGAGAACAGTTACAGGCGAATATTACTTCATCCTTCTTGACCAGCTGGATGCCAAAATTTGCGAGAAAAGGCTTAGCTTGAAGAAGAAAAAAATCATCTTTCAGCAGGACAACGCGCCTGTGCACAAGGGTGCATTGTCGATGGGAAAACTGCAGGATTTAGGGTACGATTTGCTCGGTCACCCCCCTATTCTCCCGATTTGGCACTCACAAACTTTCATATGTTCCCAAACTTGAAAAAATTTGTTTCTGGGAAGCACTTCACATCCAATGAAGAAGTTGAGGGGGTCCAAGATTAATATTTGCACAAACTTCCAGACTCTCACTTACGGGAAGGAATACTGATATTGGAGAAATGCTGGACCAAGTATGTTGAAGTCAAGGGAGGGAGCTTGTGTAGGAAAATAAAATCTTTTTTTAACTGAAAGTTGCAGTCTTTCATTGTCAGGCCGAGAACTTTTCACCTTACCCTCATGTTTAACCCTTTGCAAGAAATGTCTAGATACTTTCCAGTTTAGGGTGCACAAAAAACTCTTTTTAAAATTATTCTTGTTTGTAAATTTTTCTGTTCTAGTAGATAATTATATATAATGTAAGTACATGTACCCTATGCAATCAGAACATTCCAAAAAATGTAAAATTAATTTTTGATGTGCAAATATGACTGCTGTGAACTCTGAACTAACAAGAAGAGAATAGGAAATTAAAAGAAAACAAGATCCTTCATACAGAGATATGTGAAATGGTTAAGTCTCCAAGAACATCAAATTTGGCATTTTACCCGAGTCTCTTAGTTTTGAAAATAGCGAGAAAAGGCATATCCAGTATAGACACCACCCGCATTCTTTCATATTAGAAATACTGTGGCCTTTATAATGGCCATCCTGGTCGGAAAGTGTTAAAGAGAATTTCTATGGAACATGAATAAAATTAATCTTACTGAAGTTTTTATTTGATGCATTAAGGGAATTTTATGTTAGGATTCAAAAGATTTGAATAATAATAATAATAAAAATGGTTGAAGATTTGAATTTCCCTCTCTTGGATTTTTTTATATATATTATCTTTTTAGAATTTTTAGTTATTCACATATATTTATAGATTTTAAGTTCAGCGTTTATGTAATGATAGTATGTAATGATTTTTTAGTCTGTCATTTATCTTTTGTAACACAAAGTATTGTAATTATGCCTGCTTTCTGTTAAAATAATTATGGTGTATACATTATGTGAAAGAAGATTTTCTAAAACTTAACTTTATTTAGAAATGTGCTTTTGAATATATAAATTTAGTAATAATAATTAAAATGTTTCCTCTTTTAGGCAAATAGAAAGCCTCCAGATAATTCAGTGGGACGGACATTAATGGACATTGTACAGAGTGTGCCACAAATGAGTCCAGAGGAGTTTCAAGACATGCTGAATTCAAATATGAAAGTATGTTGAGAGAGAAGTTTAATCTAATATATTTTTCAGATTATTCATAAAATTTGGTAATTTTCAGTGAATGGAATTTGTCATAAGTGAAAGTACTTTCTGATTATCTGTACCCATGATTACCATATTTGGTAGAATTTCCATGTTTTTAACAGATGTCCAAGTACTTCTGTGACAGTGGCCATCCATGATGTGCATATCACACATAGATTTGAATGTACACTGCGCAAAAAAAAAGGAACAGTTTTATATCTCCCGTGACGATTGACAAAATTCAAATTGCATTTTTCATGTCTCAAAAACACGACTTAGGATATATATATATATATCATACCTGCCAACTTTTACGAATTTTTCGTAATTTTTTTGAAAATGCGTTTGTTTTTACGATTTTACGATCGTAATCCATTTTTTACGATTTTTTTCCTTTTTCAAGTGTTTTTAGTGATTTTTGTCGAAATTTTAGAATTTTTCGCCAATTCAGCGATTTTTGCCAATTGCATCGCGTTTTACCGCCAACTACTGACTACTTCGAATCTAGTAACCTGCGGTTTCTCCCAACTCGCCGCTTAACCAGCCAATCCAATGCGCTGAACTTGTTTCTCCCACTCTTTTCTTTGTGGACGGCAGATTATTTTTTTCGCGTTCGCTTCGGCAGTAAGGAAATTACTCAGCTCAGACTCAGCAAGCATGGATTGTCGCATTCTGTTTTTTTTTTTTTTTTTGTTTGTTTGCATGTGCTACGAATTTTCTTAATACGTCGTTGTTACGAAATGAGTTAAAAAAAACCGTATTCTCAATATTTTCGGCCTGCCTACAAAGCCGAATTTCCAACAATTAAAGAATCCTTCAAAAGAAATAACTATGCATTTTGCAACGTGTGCGTGTGTGACTTCATAATAAATCACGGTGGAAGAAGCGACATTGTGAAGCATGTTAAGTCTAAAAAGCATGAAGTTAATGCTTCGGCTTCGACAACGTCAAAGAAAGTGGAGGATTTTTTTTTCAAATTCGGCTACGAATTCGGATGCCGATGTCATTTTGGCAGAGTGTTTGTTTACTGCATTCCTCATAGTATGTAATGTGCCGCTAAGCGCTGCCGATCACGCCGGTCAACTTTTCAGACAGATGTTTCCCGGCTCCCAGATTGCTCAGAAATATGCTTGTGCTCGCACGAAAACACCTTCTATTGTGAACGAAATTGCTTGCGATGCACAAAGTAAAACGATAGCTGCACCACAGAATTCAGCATTTTCGGTGTCAATCAATGGCAGCAACAACAGCGATTGGAAGCTTTACCCCATCGTTGTCACATATTTCTGTGATGTTTCTAATGAAATGAAAACTCATCTTTTGCGTCTTCCATTGTTAAATGGAGACGCTACGGGGGGAAATATTGCCTCCTTGGTAATTAATGAGTTGAAACAACTTAACATCCCAATATCAAACTGCATTTCATTTGGTGCAGATAATGCTCATGTCATGGTGGGTGACAAAAAGGGTGTAGTCTCTTTCCTCAAAAAAGAACAAAATGAATTAATTGTTATTGGATGCCCATGCCACTTAATTAATTTGGCAGCAGAAAAAGCTGCAGCTGTTTTACCATTAAATATTGACCAGCTTTTGATTGATGTGTTTTTCTATCTGGAAAAAGGGATGCATTGCTAAAATATTTCCACGAAGAGACCAAAACGAAACCACAGATCCCATCAAATTTGTCGGCATATAAGATTCTGAAAACCAACTTTGCTTCTAATCAAAATGCTTTAAAAGGGAAAAGCCAACACACAGAATCAAACCCTGTAAAAAGAAAATGCTTAGAAGACTCCTCGAAGGTCAACTTTGTTAAAGAAGTTGAAGGGAAGAAGAAACAGTCTTTTATTAGCCGGGAGGAAAGGATTTTCTATCTTCTTTCTTCGGATTTGAACAAAGCATATTGTAGTTTGTGTTAAGTACCATTAAGATTTTTGAAAGTGTAAATACCCTTCTACATTCAGCTTCGCCAAAATCTTCCCTGCTTATCCAAATTCTTAATGATCTTTTGAAAGAACTTTATACTAAGTTTGTAAAACGTCCATTGTGAAAAATAGTGTGTTGATTCGTGCTGCCTATAATAGTTTGGCAAATCAAAAGGATGACAATGATCTTATAATTGGAAATCAAACCAGGGAACTTGTAAATTCTTTGAAAGATCATGAGAAAAAAGAATTTTTTCAATGTGTTAGAAAGTACTTTTCCTCAGTCTGTGATTACATTGTAAGGAAGTTTTCTTTGCAAAATGAAGTTCTTTTAAATGCTGAAGTGGCAAATTTGAAACAAATTGAAAATTCATTTTTTGAAAAGATTCGTTTTTTTATTGATAAATTTCCATTTTTGTTAACAATTAAAGAAAATGAATGCCATAATGATGCTTTAGATGAACTACAGAACCAATTTTCTGCTGCACAGTTTGAAGACTTTGCCAGTTCTGGAGAAGATAGACTTGATGTCCTCGTTGGTACCTTAAAAAGAATAAAAAAGAGCTGATGGAACACCAAAATATGATAGACTAGCAAGAGTTTTATGTGCTATTCTCGTAATTCCACACAGTAATGTTGAGTGCGAGAGAGTCTTCAGTGTTGTGAAGAAAAACAAAACTATGTTTCGTTCTTCAATTTCACCAAAAACTCTAGAAAACATTTTAATTGCTAAATGTTATGAGGAAACTAATTGTTGTGACAGGAAATTTTCCAAAGAATTTTTGGCTAAAGCCAAAAAATGAACTCTAAATTCATTGCAATAATTTTTTTGTGTAACATTAAGTTCTTGTTTTAAATTTCCTAATAAATTTTTTAGTTATGACTTAATTGAGATTTACTAATGTATGTACAATTTTCTTTTTTCTATTTGTATAATTTTTATTTTATTTTATTTTTTTTAATATCAAAGCATGATATTAATTCTTTGTGTTCTTCTGAATTTTGGTGAAATCTTCTGAATTTTAATCTTTAGAGGTTGGCAAGTATGATATATATATATATATATATAGCACTGTTCTAACATAAGTATTTTGACACAGATCGGACTTTTTCTGAAATAACATACCAATTTTTATCCATATTTCGATTCTACGACTCAAATTATGCCCAGATATTAAATTTTGTAAAATTTAGCTTGGCGAAATTTTTTCAGTTTGGCCAAGAATAATTCACTTGGTTAACTTCTTAATATATGGCAACGAGTTTTCCTTTCCATTCCATTATGCCGTAGTGGGGAAAAAGGCACCTTATTCCTACCTTTTAACATTGTGTCACATCTGGGAAAAAAGCGGAAAAAAAGTCACATCGTTTCTACTTCCAAATAATTTTAGTGTGTTTAAACCACATCTGATGTTTTATTGCTTTCAACAAAAATGCCAAATTTCAGAACGTGCCAATATATAAATTCACATATATTTTTGGAAGTTTTGAATAAAAAATTGTAATTTTTTGCAGGTCTACTTAGAAATAAATATGTCTACTTTAAGATGATGGTAAAAATTTTATATCTTATAATTCAATTTTTTTTGAAAAATTTATAAAAATTATTTAAAAATACAAATTTTAAAAGTAAATCATAAAAAAGGGTGAATTTTATTTGGAATTCTGACTTTCCAAATGTGAAAGTAAGAATCAAATAAGCTTAATAAAAAAGGAGAGATTAATCAGTATATACCAAACTCAATTAACGTTGAGGAGCTAAAATTTTGAGGGCTGATATTTTAAAAACTGCTTGTGCGATTTTTTTACAAAACTTGGCGTAATTTGAGTCGTAGAATTGAAGTATGGAAACAAATTGGTATGTTATATCAGAAAAAGTCCGATTTTGTGTCAAAATACTGATGTTAGAACAATGCTATATATAAATCTAATGCTTATCCTAAATTGCACTTTCGAGACGTGAAAAACGCAAGTTAAATTTCGTCAATCGGCCCAGTAGAACCAGAGATATAGAACTGCCCCCCCTTTTTTTTGCGCAGTGTGCACGAATTTATATGCTTGCTTAGCCATCATTTGCTGAAGATCATCTGCCTTATATTTAACCAAATTTTGCTTTTCCATTTTATCTTCTGGCTGTAAAACTTTAGATATTGGGCATATAAATTTGTTTTCGCTCGTGAAATTTCCTGTTTGTTATTAAATGCTCCTTGTTATTACTGTTTATGAAACCAAGTCAAACATTTTTGCAAATGTATAAAATTGCTTATCAGTTAGTGATTTTTCATAAGGATGGGAACAATCAGAAAATTCATGAAAATTTTTTTATGGTTTATGGAAATTTCAGTTCTGATATGAAACTACAGTTTAGCTTTTACAGTTTTTTTTTCTTTATTATTGTTATTAAATTAAGCTAGATCTTTCCCTCAGACTCATAATCTTTTGTTGTAAAACATTTTTATAGTCTTGAAATTTCACAACAAATTTAATAAAAGTAGAGAGCAAAATTATTCCTCTTACCTTGTATCTAGCACAGTTTCAAGCGAGATGATAGCTAATTAACTTATAATCCAAAAAAGATTGTAGACGGAAATTGTAACTGAAACACATTTTATTTACATGAAAATAGATTAAGATTTGGTAGTATTCAAATACACATCGAAAAAGGGAGTTATATAATAGAGAGTGTCATATCACTGTCCTTTCCTGAAGGAGTGAGAAAAGGAAGCAAAGAATAAGCGAGTTACACATTTAACTCCTTTTCAAGGTTTCCAGTTCATAATGTTTATTGCGCTATTGGCAACAGTCCATCACTATTTGCGTACCAACAAGAATGATATTACAAAAGTGAAATTCAGGTATCGATAATTGCTTTTTTTTGTTTTTATTTTGTTTATTAAATTCCCTCTGTTAATAGGTTCTTAATTTAGTGGTCTTTAAAAGTACTTAATTTCCATATGCAGAAATGTGTATGAGCCTGAATAAATAATGAACTAAAATAATCCATGTTTTAAATTTTACAGTTAAAAAAAAGTGTTTAACTAAATGAAAGATAAAATTATTTGTGCACCTGCAAATAAATTGAAAACAATTTAAGGCATTGTAATAACAAATTAAATATAATTTTAAAAGTCAGCGTAGAAATGAGTAGATAATAAATAAAAAATCAAAAATAATTATTAACAGTAACATAAATAACTGTTTTTGCTGTTCTTATCCTTCTGAGATGTATGTAATTAATTTTCTTTCCTTTGAGATAGATTTAATTCCTATTCTTTTTAATTTGTAATGCATTATAAATTAAATTGTTGCAAATTATTTTCTATACTTAAAATGACACAGCAGATGTATACCCCATCTGTATGATACTTTTATTAGGAAATTTGTTTAAATTTATAATGTTAGTTTTTCATATTTTATTATATAGTTCTGTAAAAGTTGATTGAATTTTTCATTATAATCTATGATATTTTTAATATTTTAGAAATATGTATACTGAAGAATATTTTAAGTTATTGGCTGCATTAGTTCCTGGTCATACATTTGTTTATTTTTCAGCATTTAATTTTATTAAAAATTGAGTAATATATGTTTATTAATAGCTTTTGGTTTAAAATTTTTGATTTTAGTAACAGATTTCAGTTATTTTACTGACATAATGTATTATGAAACTTATAAATAAAGTTAAAGATGCTTGGAGAGTGCTTTTTGTGTGTGGGGGGATAAAATATAAACTGTTGTAATTGTTAAGTATAACAGCGTATTTTTATGTATGCATGGAATTATAGAAAAATGGAATTGCACAAAAAATTACACTTTAATTGTATTTGGCAATTTTCTTTTATTGTTTTAAATTTCGTTTTCTTTTCTTCCCAGGATTTATTGATGGTTATATACTTGTCTCAACTCACAAGGAGCCAACTGGCATTGCATGAAAAAATTAGCTTCTTGTAAAAAAATGAGAATAAATTTCTGTTTAATGAATTTACATTTGTGCTCTTTTATTGCAAAATTTTATATGAAATACAAATGAATATATATATATATATATATATATATAAAACTATTGCATTTTCTCTAACTTGATTGAAAAAAAGAATTTTTATTTTTTTTAAATAGAAAGCAATTATATTAAATATTTAGAAAATATTTGTCCGTATTTGATCAGCATGTTTTCTGACTTTTATCGCAACAGTGTAAAATGTATGCCCTTATAACATTATTTTACGAATTTACTTACACATTATTTATGCTTTCCAAAGACAGTTATTATTCTTCTAGGCATCTATTATAATTGTCATAATTTTTATCTTTGGTTTATAGTATTAGTCTTTAATGAGAATGTCTGTGCTGATGTACTTTGTTTACTTTAAAAACTGAAAATGTCAAAATTTTTGTGCTTTGGAAATGCAGGTGTGCATCAGACATGGTTAAATTTAATTTGTTCTCAAACTTTTTCTTCTTCTGCTCCTTTTTTTAAAATTTTAATCAATTCTTTTATTGAGAATGTGTCTGCATATTTTTTTTGGTATGTCTAAAAATTAAATTCTCTTTTGTTAAATAATTATAAAATTACTTTTTTTATTATTTGGTCTTAAAAATCATCTCTCATTTAAATTGAGAATTTTATATAGTTTTTTTTTCAGTGTAGTTTGACATGTATTGGCTACATTTAAAATTTGTGTTAAAATTTTCTATCAACAAACATGAATCCTGTGTTTAAAAAAAAAAGAAAGAAAGAAAGAAATTTTCATATCTTCATTTACCACTCATAGAGTTGACTTGTAATGAAAGGACTTTCATTTTCCAGAAATTACCCACAAAGCAAGCTTCTTTAGTTGTTGAGTTGGATTTCTTTAAATCCTTTCATATTCACAAAAATTTGCCTTAATTAGATTGGAACTAACATCATTAATTGTTCCTCTTTTTTTTTTTTTTTTTTATAAATGTTAATATTTTAGCTCTTTCCTGTTTTGTTTCCCATGATAGATGGCATTATATTCATTTTCTCTTTGCTCTGCTGATTGATTTCTACATGCACTTAGTTTTTTTTTGTTCTTGAAAATGTGAAACCTTTGCCAGACTTCGTTCAAAATCTACATCAGATTAGATATCTCTTTTACCTAAATTTAAACTTTATATTGGCGTGTTTCTCCTATTCCAGTTAATCATGTGAAATAAAAATTCTTATGATTGGACTACAAAAGGTGCTTTAAATAACTAAATTTGTCTTTATATTTTTTATTATAATAAACTTGTCTTTGTATCACATTTTTGCAGTAAAGAACTAAAAATTAAAAAAAGACATTACTATTCTGAAAATTGTAATTTGAATGTTATTGAATAGTTTTTAGCAAAATGTCTTTTTAATGGAGATAGCCATTTCAATATTTTGATTTAAGCTGATATACAAACAGCAAATACTTAACATAAATGTATATTTAACATAAAATTCTGTTCTAATGTACTTTTAAAATATATAAACAACATCATCAGTGACATGATTAATTTGTGTAAATAATGTCATTATTCATTTCAGCTTGAAGTCCAATCATAAGAATTCTTTTGTAGTCCAATCATAAGAATTTTTATTTCACATGATTAACTGGAATAGGAGAAACACGCCAATATAAAGTTTAAATTTAGGTAAAAGAGATATCTAATCTGATGTAGATTTTGAACGAAGTCTGGCAAAGGTTCCACATTTTCAAGAAAAAAAAAAAAAAAAAAAAAAAAACTAAGTGCATGTAGAAATCAATCAGCAGAGCAAAGAGAAAATGAATATAATGCCATCTATCATGGGAAACAAAACAGGAAAGAGCTAAGATATTAACATTTATTAAAAAAAAAGGAACAATTAGATTGGAACTAACATCATTATAATGATGTTAGTTCCAATCTAATTAAGGCAAATTTTTGTGAATATGAAAGGATTTAAAGAAATCCAACTCAACAACTAAAGAAGCTTGCTTTGTGGGTAATTTCTGGAAAATGAAAGTCCTTTCATTACAAGTAAATATTTTTTAAGAAATTCCAGACTTCAGAGAAAAGTAACCATAAAAACTGTCCTGTGCATATAAACATATATAAAGTCTATTGGTCTACATGCACATATGAAATTGGAAAAGAAGGCAATTTCTTATGTATAACTAGTGGGTAATGTTTTATTACAATATGAGAGAGAATTATATGATATTGCTAAATATGTTCAAGGAATTGCAGGGGAAGAAAAACCATAGAATAATAAAATATTATTTTATAAATTTATTTTACAATATTCATAAATTTTGAATTATATTTGTGTAAAATTATATGGAGAGGAACAGGGCCTAACAAAATAATAAAGCATTTTAAAAGCCAACATAAATTGCATAATGTAAATTGAAAAGTCTAAATACTAGCAATTTTTGTAATCATTTCAGTTTTGTAAAAGTTTGGAAGTGCTGTATGGCATTAATTTAAATACATTTATCAATTTTTAGTAGGATATGGTAACCATCTCTGGCTGTGGCAACATCATTAATTTTTGCATTAGATTGAGGTCAGAAAAGTGTAAAGATCTTCAGTATTTTGTTGATACCACTTTCTTTTATTTTTCTGAATATAACATTTTTTAAATTTGTACTACTTGATGCACAGAGAGATAACATATCACTTTGAAGTATGCAGTTTCCTTCATATTTAATTTATCTACATGAAAAAAATTCTAGCAACTACACATAAGCTTGTGCATTTCGTTGAGTTGAAGAACCTGTAAAAAAATGCAGTGCTCTTGATTGCTCTTTAGAGATGTTGTGGTGGGCATTTTAATCTCATGCTAAGAATGAAATCTATTTGGTCCAATTAAGTGAAATTTTTCATCACAAAATAAGTGGCTGTGGGGTGGAAACACTGTTTCAGTAAAAGTAAAAATTTCGTAAACACTAATGTGTTAATGTCATTTGTAAATTTCCTTTACTGATAGATTTTTTTTTTTCTTTTATAACATTCGATGTATGAGTTGTTTATCAAACATCTGGAAGTTATTTATTTGTATCATGAGAATCTCGTACTGATTTTTATCTGAGTAAATAGCAGCCTATTCTGTGGAATATGTATGCGTGACAGTGATTCATCCTTACATATAAACATATGGCCATGTAGAACACTTTCTACTGACATTAATGTTCCACACTTAATAGCATTTTGAACTGCATGCTGACAACATCCAGTATGTTTCCAAATAGTAGTGATAAAGGCTTAGGTGATTTAAAAAATCTTCAACTTTTACTAGCAATTTTTGTAGTTCACTCTCAGTTTTGTTTCGCATCATATTTTACCCATTATCAAAAATTTCTGAACTAGGATTTCATTTGACTTGCAGAGTTTAAAACTTATTTGCATAATTAAAATTTTAAAAATACAATCTTATATTTTATTTGCATGTAATTCTTAAAAATTTCATAAGAGAGATAATATGGTTTAGACATTGGCAATCCTTTGCAACAAACATTTCCCTGATATTTTTTGCTATCGTTTCACTATGTCCTGCATTATAAAAAAATATTGATGGGTGGGGTGCTTTTTTTAATTTCATTGAGTGCCATTAAAAAAAACTTTGGAATTGTTGTTAGCATAGTCTCAGCTAACTGTTATTCATTTCTGAAATTCAAATCGTGCTGTGTTTTTTACTTTGAAAAAAATTTCCATAAATTTCCTTTCAGTTTAATGCATTTGTATGACAACTGCATTGCTATACATTTAAAACTCCGTAAAATGTCCATCTGCCTTTGTTATAGTGGAAGATTTCATTTTCAGTTGGAAAGAGAGATGCCATGTAAGGGTGCAACTGATCTGCAGTTATGTTCAGATAGTCCACAGCTTTCATAGTCTGTTCTATCACAATTAAGGGTCCCAGAGCCACCCATGAGAGCATTCCAATTACCATAATTCCCCAAAGCATAATACTGTCACTATCAACGTGTGTATTACCTGCTGTACGGAGGAGGAGCAAATGTTCGCCTGGAAGACTATGTATCCCAAAATGACCGCTGACGTGATTACTGAGAAATCATGATTCATCCGACTAGGCAACTGTCTTCCATTTATCCATGGTCGAGCCTCGTTATTCCCAAACCCATTGTAGGAGTAAATGACAATGATGCTTGGTTAGCAGAGGCACATAAGTGAGATTGTTGCACAGTCCCATATCCAACAGTGTCTGCTGAACTGTTGTTTTGAAGCACTTGGACATGCATTGTATTAGGCTATCAGCTGAGCCACTGTCTGGCACCGATTTTCTGTACCAAGTGGGATAGTCTCGCAAGTCCGTTTTCTTTGATGATGCATAGACATCCGACACCTTGGTGCCTACTGATAGTTTCATCGTCATTTATTTACTTTGCATAAATACAAGGTGCGGCAAAATGATAGGTACTATTTGGGATGTCAATAAAAACCAAACCACATAAAGCAAAAAATTTTTTTATTTCTTTTTTAAATCTACATTCCATGCCATTTAGAAACGTTATTTTTTAAAAAAATTATATCTTTTAAATAACGGCCATTGTATGGTGTCTCTCTTCATGAGTCATAATTTCAAAGATCGTTTCGTTTCAGGAGTCAAGGTTGGGAGAGCATTAGAATTTCAAATCAAAACTTCAAGATCTCACAGAACATAGAAATAACATTTATTAACGATAAACTTATATTACTTCCGCCTATAGTGGCCATGAAACATAATCAAACATCAAATAAATATGACATGCGTCATTCTTCATGTTCAAGCGTCAAGAGGAATATTTTTCATCGGCGCGCATCAAGAGCGCCACCTATCTACCGAAAAGACGGAACATACTCCGCCCCGATGAACATTGGTTTATTACAACATTATTATAAAGATCTTCAATTTTAGATTTAAACAAGTTTTCCAAAAGTTCAACAGTATATCATATAAAATAAACAATGCATAATGACAAATTTAAATTGAATAACAACATTAAATTTAGC